TTGAGAGGCATTTTTTGATAAATTATTAACATAATGCGCTGTATAAATGGTTTGTGTCAAAGCAACAGCGCAACAAGAGTCACCGACACAACAAGAGTAAAGAGTGCTGTAATTCCAGCAATCAGGAGCCCTATAAATCTTTTAGTATGAGCTAATGCTGAGTTAACCTCTTTCCATATCTGTAAACCTTTGTCATCATACCAGGGTCCTGTGATATGAACTGGAATCATAACAAATGCTGGCTGGTACAGCACTACAACCTTAGTACCTTCCTCAACTGAGGTGACACAATTAGTAAGATTACATTTTTCACAAGAAACATTAAATACAGAGTTATGGGTGGTGATGGTAACATTCCCCACAAGCAATGCATAGGGCTCAGGAACAGGTGGAAATGCCGCTGAGGCTAGAATTGTCCTTGCCCAAAGCTGTGGCAAGGAAAGTCCCCATGCTAGCACTCAGTTTCCACAGGTCAGTCTGATAAATCTAAGTCTAATAAGTCCATAGTCCACAGCCCTTCTGTAAAACCTTGCAAGCTGTTTTGAGGGTTGGATTTGTTTACAGGTATCCAATCATACAGGCTGAGATTAAGTCTAGGGATTGGTATTCGAGTCACAGTGTCCCCATAGCAACATCTCCATGATAGATGATGCTGGCTTGCAGGAGTTTCCTCTTTACAGGGTAGATAACTTCTAGGCCTCGGGGCAGTAGTAATTTGGGCTGTCTCTCCCGAGATACTGCATAATCACTGTCCAATGAGTACCATTCTTATTGGCAAGAGTAGTCCCATTTACAGTTACACACCCAGTGTAATTGCCACCTTTCCTTAAACATATAGGGACATTGCCATTTATCCCAAAGTAGATATAATTTCCATGACTCGTGGCTTTAATGTGATGTCTCGACGGTACCCCTAGAGCCTGCATATCATTTGCATAAACAGGAACATTTCTCTCATTCCAAAACACCGGATGTAAGAGCGGAGCACTGGGAACGTAGGCCCAGTATGAATCAGCAGTAGAAGGCTGCACTTGGGCTGATAAAAGTGCCAACATGGCTAAAGGCAAGGTGGAAGGTGTAGCCGGCTCTCCAGTGCTAGCAGCCATCTGCTGGGCCCTCCAAGTAAGATTCTTTATCTGCCCCCAAGTGGGCAACTTGGCCTGTTTGGTGGTCGCCATAGGCTCTGGGTGCTCAGACTCACTCAGCCGTAGCCTCTTCATTTTTCCCTCTAGGCTCTGGTCCTGTTTGGCGTACCAGCCTCTCCGGGAGCCAGTGTGGGCTTTTGGCATCCTGTGGGAAAACACAAACATGCCCTCTTCCCTAAATTAGTACTGGATCTGGTCCTGACCATTGCCCAGTAAGAGGGTCCTTCCAGCACACCTGTGCATAGGTATGCTGGGACGTTGCACACCAGAACCTCTGAGCTGCAGATTTTCCATTAGCATCTAAATTTTAAAAATTTAAAATAAATAAGGCATGGTTAAGGTAATTCTGTGGTGTCAGGGGGTATAGTTCCCCCCTTTTTATTTTTTGTAATTGTTGTTTCAGAGTACCATTAGCTCTTTCAACAATACCTTGTCCTTGCGGGTTATAGGGGATTCCAGTTTTATGAATAATACTCAATTGTGCACAAAATACCTGGAACTTTTTTCCAGTATAGCCAGGTCCATTGTCAGTTTTAAGACTTTTTGGTTGTCCCATAGTGGCAAAACATTTTAAGCAATGAGCAATACAGTGCTTGCTCGCCTCCCCGGATTGTAAAGTAGCCATAAGAAATCCGGAAAATGTGTCAATAGTAACATGTACATACTTTAATCTTCCAAAACTAGGAACATGGGTCACATCCATTTGCCACAAATGGTTGGGCAATAAACCTCTGGGATTAACTCCCAAATGTGGCACAGAGAGTAATTCTGGGCAGGACTGACACTGTTTGACTATTTGTCTAGTTGCTTCTCTAGTAATTTTAAACTGGAGTCTGAGGTTGTTGCTATTCTGGTGATGGATGGCATGAGATTTTTCTGCTAATTGTTCTTGGGTGAATAAAACTCTTGTGACCTGATCAACTACTTCATTGCCTGAGCTAAAGGTCCAGGTAGGCCAGTGTGAGCTCGGATATGGCCAAAATAACATTTTTCAGTCCTTCGAAGTTCTTTTTGGATAGCTCTAAATAAATCTGAACATTACTGTTAGAGGTTCCTATAAAAGAAACAGTTTTTATGACTTGTAATGCCCTAACTATGTACTGACTATCAGAGTACAGATTAAATCTCTGTTCAGATACCTTTTGAATAGCAGCAAGGACAGCTTGTAGCTCGACTTCCTGAGCTGAATGGCATCCAGTTTTCCAAGAAGTAGTTTTTCCTAACATAGTATAAGCTGCAGTTCCATTGGAGGAGCCATCAGTGAATATTAATAATGCACCTGTTAGCGGTTCAGCAGATACTTTTCCAGGAAAAATAAATTGATGTAAGCTAGCAAATTGCAACAATTTATCATGGGGGTAATGATTATTCAGTCTCCCTGCATAATTAGCAAGAGAGATGGTCCAAGTATCACTGTGCTGAAATAATCAATCCTGTTGTTGTTTGAAAAAAGGTAGACAAATGAAATGAGGCTCTCTTCCTAATAATTGACAAGATTCAGTTCTCACCATGTGAATCAAGGTTGCTACTAATTGATGATATGGGGTAAGAACTTTAGAAGGAGAAACTGCTGAGTGCAGCCATATTAGCGTTCCTTTCTGATATACCCTGTGCCCAGGCTCCAGCCGCTTGAAATTTAAAATGCCACATTTTTCCTACAGATAAGGATCTCAGATTCTGATAGGCCTGAAAAAGGGGAATGGGAGAATTTCTAACTGTGCCTTTAAGCCCCCTAACAGAACACGGTGAAAAGTGTCCAAGGAGTCACCGGGGGTTTTGGGGTCTCATTGGGGTGTAGTGGGTCACAAAGGAATTTCTCTCCTCACTGCAGCCTCCAGCTACTCTAAACAACCCCTGGAGGGAATAGACACCAGGTGGGTGGAGGCAGGGCTCCCATGGAGGCATTTTTATCCAGAAGTCCACTCTGTTCCCACTGGGAAAAACGCTCGCCTCCTGCTAAGGTGGTGTGGGGGAACTGATGACTCCTCCACTGTAGTCAGACTTCCTGAAAAGCTCTTACTGATTTTAAAATTATAACTTAAGAGTTGACACACATACAAGGACCAAACGGCCCACAAAATATTTTTTTTCTTTTAAAAATTTTACAATGTACTGTAATCATTACATTAAACTTAAATGGCCAATTGAGACAAATAGTTCTGAGACTGTTCCTCAACCACTGATGAAGACTGGGTGGAAGCAGTGTCTATAATAAGATTCATTTAGTTTTTGAGCTTGCTGGGCATCCTTGGTGACTTTGCCAGCTCAAGCTTCCTTCTTGTAAGTAGTTAATTTTAGAATTTGGTCTCTGCTTTTAACTTTTTGGATGACCACAATTGTTATAATTTCATACCTTTAAATTAATAAACATAGACATAAATTTTGTTATGTGGGCTGATTTCCCTCTGGCAGAAAGCAAAGCACCACTGGGAAAAATGAATCCCAGTCGAAGCTGGTTTGGCTCAGTGGTAGAGTGTCGGCCTGCGGACTGAAAGGTCCCGGGTTCGATTCCGGTCAAGGGCATGTACATTGGTTGCGGGCACATCCCCGGTGGGGGGTGTGCAAGAGGCAGCTGGTCGATGTTTCTCTCTCATCGACGTTTCTAGCTCTCTATCTCTCTCCCTTCCTCTCTGTAAAAAATCAATAAAACATATATATATTTTTAAAATGAATCCCAGTGGCCACTCGGGGCATTTTGCTAGCCATCAGAGCACTCAGCTTTAAACAAATTAAAGGTTTCTTTCTTTTTCTTTTTTCTTTTTCACAGATTTTCACACTTATATGAACAAATAATTATACCCAAGCAGACAAACAAAATATCAAAAAAATGTCTGTACTTATACCCTTTCAGTAAACAAGTAACATTACAGTGTTTCAGCAAAATAGAAATGGCACTCATGTTGGACAAAGGAAGCAAGACTAATACTCTAAGAACTGTGAAGGGAAAGTTATCCTACAGACCGGCGTTGACCAGGGAAAGAGTGGTTAAATCAAAAGTATTAACATCAGGGCCGTAGTCGTCCACCTATTTCTTGAAGTCCTGGAAATTTTTCAAAAAGCACTGTAGAGGGGAACACAGAGACACTGATAAACCTTGACCCATTTTGACAGAGAACAAAACATAAAACACAAAACAAATAGGCCTGACATAAACATGACAGAACACAAGACAACCAGTCCGGACACCTGGGGCTGAGGACACAGTCGTGTCCTTCGGCCAGAGCCTGGAGGTTAAGCTTCGTCCAGTCCTCCAAAGATTCATACCCTTTTCTAGGTTTCTAAGTCTATAGTTCCTCCGGGAACCAGGGGCAGACTTCTTAACTGTTTCTGCCCTGCTTTTATGCCTCTAGAGGGAAGCATACTCTTAAGAACTTGTACGAACAGCACTCGGCTATTCCCTTGCCCCATATTTTTTACTCCCTACTATTACACTCCCTGCCCCAATCCTACCTTATTCCAGACACATCCTCTTTGCTCCTTGGGCAGTGTCCTCTACCTTAGTCCCATGTTTTCAGGTTCCTGTTTCGGGCGCCACCTGCTGGAACCTGCCGGCAATGAACAGTACCTGAATGAGGGGGTGAGGATAAGAAAAAGACAGACAAGAACAGATGGGGTCGGGAGGGCTCAAGACCCGAGGTCTGCAGCCACGAATTTTATTTTTCCAACCTTTAAATATAATTCTGAAGGAGGAAATACTTATTTTAGGCAAATTGTGCAGGTGGCTGTTTCTGCTAACATGATGAGTTCCTGTACAGATAAGTTCCTTCAGCACCTGACCTTTTACAACCACCTGACCTTTTACAACTCCTTTTACAGCTCCTTCTGTGTCAGCAGGCTCCTATCAATTGTTTTAACTTAAAGCAAAGACATCTGCAGTTAGCAGCATTCCTAGGGGTAGTAGTAATTTTCCACTTATGTTAATGGAAAAGGGGGGCACATGGAGAGCTTTGTCCTATACCCATGCCTGCATTCAGGCATATAGGACCCCTGCATTCAGGGCAGGTCCCCACATGTTTTGGTGTGGGTCTTTTGGGGTTTATCTTGCTTGGGACCCTCTGTACTTGTCTGTTTTCTTCCCCATATCAGGGAAGTTTTCAGTCATTATTTCTTCAAATAGATTCTCTAATCCTTGCTGCTCTTCTTGTCCTCTGGCACCCCACCATATGTATGTTACTTTGTTTCATGTTGTCCCAAAGCTCCCTTAGGCTCTCCTCCTGCTTTTTAATTTTTTTTTCTCCAATTGGTGTTCAGAATGGGCTTGTTCTCTACCTTATCTTCTAACTTACTACTTCAGTCCTCCACTTCTCCTGAGTCTACCATTGAGACTTTCTATCCTAGGTTTGTTTGTTTATTTGTTTTTTTGTTTTTGTTTTTATAATAGCTATATCACTTTTGATTTCTTCCTGATTTTTGCATAAGTTGTTGATTTTCTCATTTATCCCTTTTATGAATTGTAAAACCATTACTCTGAATTCTTCTTCTGTCATATAGCATGCCTTTATTTCACTTATTTCTTTTCTTGGTGATTCCTCTTTTTCTTTCCTCTTGGGATTGTTTTCTTGTCTCCCCATTCTAGCTATCACCAGAAGGTCCAAGCATTGAGTTGTGGGGGGCCTGAGCTGTGTGCAGTGGGCGTGTAGAACCATCCAAGAGTCACTGAAGAGCTTCAACATCAAGATTTGTGGTTGCCAAGGGTCAGCAGGAGCCACACACACCAAGAATCAGAGTCACTAGCACTCAGTGCAGCCTCATGCACACACTAGCATCAGGGTCCCCACATGCACCATGCTGAGAATGAGTCCCCGCTGGAGTGTGCCAAAAGTCAGAATCCTCAAGCACATGCCTGGAATCAGAGTCCCCATGTGCACACACCAAGAATTGAGAATTGGAATCTCTGTCACTCGCTGCAGTTTCATGCGTGCGCTGAGAATTAGGGTCCCTTTGCGCACATGCACTGAGAATTGGGTCACTGGTGCTCAGTGTGTGCACATTGAGAATCAGGGTTCCCGGGCACACTTGGTGAGAAACAGAGTCCCTAAATGTGCATATTGAGAGTCAAAATCTCTGGTGCTCCATGAAGCCTCCTGTGCAGTGAACAGGATCTCTGGCCTGCTTGGGGGGCCAGATTGCACAGCCATCCAGTGTCAGTGGGAGGCCTGCTTGCACACCATGGGAAACAGACTTTCTGTGTGTACATGCCCAGAATCAGTCAGGTTGCATAGCCACCCTGTGTCAGTGGGAGGCCGGCTTGAACGCTGCAGTAAAGACTCCCCGTGTGGCATGCCCAGAGTCAAAGTCAGGTTGCACAGCTGCCATGTTTTGGCAGACCTGTTCACATGGCATGGGTCTAGCAGGTCCTATGCCACTGAAGCGGGCTGGTAAGAGGGGTATGAGCACTGTGACTTACAGAAATCTGGGGCAGGGATGTCTGGAGTTTTGGTGTCTGTGGGACTGCAGTTGTGGTAGCAGGTCTTTGTCCCAAGTGGCTAAAGGGTCTTGGTTTGTATCTGAGGCCAGAATGGGCTAGGATCCTAGTTGCAAGCAGTTCTGCCCTTCAAGATGGCATAGATTCTGTGCCAACACTGGCCACCCTAAGGTGTTTAGTGCCAGCAGGGTTTTACAGTCTAAGACTGCCCAGTCTGCCAACCCCCATAAAAGTCCTGCAGAATCTAACTGTCCCTAGCTCACACACACATGCCACACATGTCCACACACTTCTCTTTTGCTCCATCACTCTCCCACACACTCTCTTTTCCTGACTTTTTGCCAGTTGTTGCCATCTTCCCATATCCCAGAATTTAAATTTAGCCAAAAATTTCTATTATTAGCATGAGCCACTTCTCTGTTTTAAAAACCTGTGATTATTGGCGAGAGCTTGAAGATGGCGACCGAACAGATGGACTTGTTCTGACTCTGGTCCCAGAACAGATAAAAGCAGTGTCTGAGTCGCTCAGGGAATGTTGATTAGCAGCTAAGGGGCAGCAGAACTCTCAAGGAAGGTAAGGAAGGGTCAGCTGTACAGGATTTCCTGATCAAGCGGCCAGCACTGCCGCGGTGACGGCGAGCTACGGGCTACGGGCTCAGAGGGAAGGCTCCGCCATCTTACCAGGAAAGGAGGATCTTCTCTGAGGCCTGGGAAACCCACAGAGAAGGAGTCCATCGTGCAGCTGTGATGCCACAATCGGCGCAAACACGTGGATTCAAGGGAGTTCTTCAACCACCCACGGAAAGGTCAGAGTTTGCGGGGATGGCCTGAGGGATCTGAGTCCCGTGGCACAGGCAGCTAAGGTAGTCGCGGAGCTCCCACGGGGCCCCAACCCCACTGTAGCCGGGAGTGCCTTGCTGTCGCCTGCGCTGAGCTGCACCCAAAGAAGGCTGCAGCGAGAATTCTGACCGGCGACAGCCAGTGCTGGGTTTGGCGTAATCTTCCCCAGAAGCAGGACTTTTTTTAAATGCCAGGGGGACACGGGACAGATTGTTAAGAATCGCGGCTGTCCTGACAAGGGTGGAACATCTGGATACCTCGGCGCCTGATCCTCTTCACCCCCTTGCTCCTGAATACTAGGGAAGGGCTGCCCAGTTTGGCATATCCGGGGAAATTGCAGGGGGAAATTGCCTTCCTGGAAACAAGGGATTGGAGCCAGAAGAGATAGTCTGGGAGCAAGTTGGCACTCTGCCAGCTAGAGCCATAGAGAAAGAAGGCCAGAGCAACCAAAAAGACTGGGAGGTCAAACCGGTAATACTGACACCTAAGGGCTGAATTACAAACTGCCTTTTTTTTTCTTTTTCTTTTAATTAATCAAAAATAAATGGACACAAATAACTAAGATATAGCCTACTTAAAATTAAGGATTACCTTACAAAACTGAGATGCAGTGGAATGCTGGGAACTGCAAGATTCTCTGGTCCGAGAATCAGGTGTGCCAAATACAATAACAGAGGAAGTGAATGACCACTAATTTTACTATTCTTTATTTTATTTTCATTTTTTACATCTTCTATTTAATTTTCATTTTTTACATCTTTTACTTAAGAAACAATTTTTTTTTCTTTTTTCCTTACTTGATTTTACCTTTTCAATTAATACATTTTTCAATCTCTGTCATCACTATTACTACTGCTATTTTGCAATTTTTGTTTCTTTCTTTCTTTATTTTTTTTTTCCTCTCCAGTACCATTTTATTTTTTTCTTTATTTTACATTGGGAGTAACCTTCATTTTATTTTAATCTCTACTATAGCAACATTCAACCCTATCTCAACTCGACCTTTACACCATCACTCTCTTACTAAACTTTACCCTTTTAGTCTCCGGTTTATCCTATCCCTTTTCGGCCTTAGTTTTTCCTCTATTCTTTCTGTATACCCTGTGCTAAAGCTCTCACTATACTTATAGACCTAAGTTTCAACCACTGATCCAAGTGTATAAATACCACTCTCTGCACTATATTAACTAGTTAAAAAAAAAACAAAACAAAAAACTGTTCTCCTCTCTATCCTTTTCTCATTGTTTGTGTGAAGGTTTATTGTGAATTTTTATGCTTTTTAGTAAAATTGTTATGCTTATTCCTGTGTTGTTATTGTTGCTTTGTATTTTTTTTTAAATCCTCTGTTTTTGTTTGTTTCTTTTACTTCTGTATATCATAGCCTTACTTAATAATAGTGGATATTGTAGTTTGTATTAACCTCCAAGTATTGTTACTGGCATTGGCTAGGTTCAGTGGTTGTTCTATGGCAATTTTCTCCACATATATAGTTTGTTTCCCATTTCTCTTTTAGTTTGCTTTCTTTCTCTCTCTCTCTCTCTCTCTCTCTCTCTCTCTCTCTCTCTCTCTCCCCGCCCTCTCTCTTTTCCTTTTTTCCCTGTTTTCCAACTTCATTTTGTCATTACTTTTTTTCTTCTTTTTCTATCTCTTTATCCCTCTTTTTTTATTTACTTATTTTATTTATTTATTTTTAATTTCTCTTTATTTTATTTTTACCTTTCTTCCTTCTCTCCTATCCCCTAATTTGCCTTACTCAAGTGGCCACCCTTATAGAGGTTATTAATATTGTAAATACATTCCTGTTAAGTGCCTCTTGTGTTGTACCTGATAGTGTTGTATTTTGTACCTTTAAGTCAATGCAAGAGAAGGAACACCACATAACCAGACATCCTGAAAAGAGATACAATGGGAAGACAAAAAAATACCCCGCACATGAAAGAAAAGAAGGCATCACCAGAGAAGGAAGCAAACGAGTCAGAGGCAAGCAGCCTACCAGAGCAAGAGTTCAGAATAAAGATCATAGGATGGCTAAGAAGAAATGAGGAAGAACCATGAGGAATTGAAGAAGAACCAAGAAGAAATGAAAAATGACATCGCTACCATGAAGAACTCAATAGAAAGCATCAAGAGTAGACTAGATGAAGCAGAGGATTGCATTAGTGAGCTAGAAGACAAGATGAATAAAAAATACCCAATCAGAGCAGCTCCTAGAAAAAAAGATTAAAAAGCAGGAGGAGAGCCTATGGGAGCTTTGGGACAATACAAAACAAAATAATATTCAAATAATAGGGGTTCCAGAAGGAAAGGAAAGTGAGGTAGACATGGAAAAAGTATTTCAAGAAATAATGACAGAAAACTTTCCTGAGATAGAGAAGAAAAAACCCACACAAATCCAAGATGCTCGCAGAGTCCCAAGCAAAATGAATCCCAGAAGACAGACGCCAAGGCACATTATATTTAAAGTGGCAAACAACAATGACAAAGTAAGAATCTTAAAAGCAGCCAGAGAAAGACAGTAAGATACATACAAAGGAACCCCCATCAGAATAGCAACTGATTTCTCAATAGAAACATATCAGGCCAGCAGGGAATGGGGTGAAATATACAAAGTCATGCAAAGGAAGGGTCTGACTCCAAGAATACTGCACCCAGCAAGGCTATCAATCAAAATTGAA